AGAATACCAAAGAGAAGAAGAAGAAGTTGGAGAAGAATTCTTCGGTTACTTTCAAAGAAGTCGGCAAAAACAGGTGGAAGAATGAAGACCCGGGATATTCCGGTCATTCCAACCCTGTCTTCACATTCAATGAATCCGATGGCGAAGACAATGACATCGATTATAATGTCTTCAAAGAACCAAAATCTCCACAAAGGTATTGTATTGTTTTGATATATTCTTCAATTATTTGCAGTTTAAATAAATATTTTTGTAATTAAAAGACATAACAAAATCTTTTAATTTGCTGTTAGAAATAGTTATCATAGTTTTGATCAGATCTTCATGTACAAGGTTTTTAGATTTAAACAAATGCTCAGACATTTTGTCCCGACATTTATTGCGAATATATTCATTGTATTTCATTGAGAGATGTCTCAGATCTATAGTACTTTTATTATAAAGCAGAAACTTATTATAAACTTTACATAATATTAATAAATTAAATAATTGCATAATTTAATAGTTTTAGATGTTGATTATTCAATAACTTTTAATATATTTTTTCATTTATTTTTAGTCTTACATAAAAATAACCAATCTTATTTCATTTTACCATAATTCTAATACAAAATTAATTTCAAAATATCATAATAATATTATTTAATTGTAAATTCATGTGTAAATTTATACTATACTGTATTCATATTTCTTATTAAAGGTTAAATTTAAAAAATGTTAAAATTTATCATAAAAATACACAATTTTACTACTGTATATTGATTTGCAAAATATTTGACGAATAAATAATTTGTTTAGTGAACCGATATCTGAAAATTCATCAAAAAGTTGGGACACATTTGTAACACTTCCTCCCGAAGAAGATGACGACACTCTAAGCACAGAATGGATGAACGTTTTCGTCTCATTCTTCAAAATAGTCGCCTATATATTCACATTCCTTCTCATCCTATTCTGTGCCGCGCTTTCAATGTCTACACTATTGTTAATGACAGCAATGATTAGAAATCATCATAAAGTGATTCTTTGTACCAATAATTTTCTCGACAGCGGACTTATTGGTGGCCGAAGTTATTATGCCGTCTATAGTGATAGCGATCCGGAAAGGATCGGTTGGATTTGGTGTCTGTTTGTGGTAATGATTGCGCCCGTAATTCACACACTTTATAATTGTGGTAAATTTTGTATTTTCAAACAACACAAAAAGCCTAAATTATTAACATTTTTAACAGTAAGTGAATTAAATTATGGTTAAGAATTGTTATAAAAAATTTATTTATAATTATTAATTAACAAAATGCTAGGTTTTTCTAACGGAAACTCTACAAACAATTGCATTCGTATTACTAATAATAATGATTTTGCCGGACCTCGACTCAAGTCATGGCCCAATGCTATCGCATTCAATATCATTAATTCCCGCAATTCTGGCACTTATTTCCCGATACTATAAAGAAAGTGTTGAAAAGAAGAGACTGTTATTGACATTGGATTCGTTGTCAGTTATAATACAAGCACTTTGTTTGATAAGTTGGGCAATTCTCGCACATTTTGATGGCAATCGTCAAAAAATTTGGGCGCTTCCTTTCGTTTTGCTATTCATGTCAATTGGCTTTTGGGATAATTATCTCATAATTACTAAATGGAAACATTTGAATAAATTCTTGGGATTCTTATGCGAAATCAAAAAAGATCTGAACAGCAGTCGATATTTCACATATCTATGGATATCTGTTTGGAAAATATTCCTAATATTTGGCACAATTTTGATTTATTTTGCGATAATTGACGCACAAAATGATACAGAAGTCACTAAAAGTCTGTTCACAAACTTTAAGCAAGCATTTTCTGAGCACACAATCAATATAAATCGGGTTGAAGTGACTTCTAATCGCGATGAATTGCCACCAATTATGTCAAAACCAGTGACATATTTATGGTTAATAATGATTCAAATCGCGTCAACATTTATGTGTTATGTATTGGCAAAGTTTGTCTGCAAAATACAGATCCAGATCTTCAGTTTCACATTTCCGCTAACAATCGTTAGTCCAATGATTATAGTGTTAATCAATGTTTTGTGTCGTTTGCATCTGCGATACAAAGACGACTGTCGGCTCTCAGAAGCGCTGAGTATGGACTATGTCTTCTGGCACTCGACTCTCGACCTAAACGACGAGTTAAAGTCAATCAATTACGGAGAATCAATCGTTTGGCTCTTCAGTCTATTGTCTCAAATATGGATAACTTTACACATTTGGGAACCGACTTCTGAACGATTGGCCAAAACCGACAAACTGTTCACAAAACCGGAGTATTGTTGCGCTTTCATCGACCAGTCGTTAATTTTGAACCGAAAGATTGAGACCAAAGGCGAAGTGGATGTCAGGAAAATGAGCGCTCAGGACATCCAGAAGAGGAACGACGAGACGGTTAGGATCTATATGTGCGCCACGATGTGGCACGAGAGCAGTGATGAGATGATACAAATGCTTAAGTCTGTGCTCCGGATGGACATCGATCAGAGTGCCCGGCGACAGGCCATGAAGTTTTTTAACACCAAATCTACCGATTATTACGAAATTGAAAGTAATGTTCAATTTATTATAAAATGTAAATTAATTTTTTAATTATAAAAATTTATTTTATTAGTTCACATACTCTTTGACGACGCGTTCATCGATAGGTTCAGTGAAGTGGGCGGACAGACAACGAAGGAACGGGTGGTCAACAGTTATGTGACACAATTCGCAGAAGTGATCGATAAGGCCGCGAGTCATGTCCACGAGTGCAACATCAGACTTAAGACACCCGCACTCACGCCCACTCCATACGGAGGACAACTCGTTTGGACACTTCCCGGAACTAATAAACTATACGTTCATTTGAAAGACAAGGAACTGATTCGACACAAGAAGCGCTGGAGTCAGGTTTGGCGCCATATTATCATTGCAGACATGAATTACATTAATGATTAAATGTGACCACAGGTTATGTATATGTATTATCTGTTGGGCTTCAGAATGAAAGACGTGGAGGAAGAAAAACGAGACAAAATAGCAGAAAACACGTTTATTTTAGCCCTCGACGGGGACATCAACTTTAGACCAAAAGCCGTTAGACTTTTATTGGATCTGATGATTAAGCACAAGAATTTGGGCGCCGCCTGCGGGCGCATACACCCCATCGGTGGCGGACCGATGGTCTGGTATCAGGTCTGATATCATTGGATGTGTGAAAACAATAATTAAATATAATTTTGGTAATAATTAATTATGTAGAAATTTGAGTACGCGATCGGCCATTGGCTACAAAAGGCAACCGAACACGCGTTTGGGTGCGTCCTCTGCAGTCCCGGATGTTTCTCACTATTTCGGGCCAAAGCCTTGATGTCCGACAATGTTATGAATAAATACACGTCTAAGGCATCGGAAGCCGTGCAATACGTACAGTACGATCAGGGAGAGGACCGATGGCTTTGTACTCTTCTCCTCCAACAGGTTTGGTTAGACATTCAGTGAAAAGTGATTTAAACTAATGCCGTGTATATCCATACGGATGACCATCGATGACAGGGTTGGCGCATTGAATACTGTGCCGCTTCGGACTCGTATACTCACGCGCCCGAAGGGTTCGGCGAGTTTTACATCCAGAGGCGCCGGTGGGCGCCCTCAACAATGTTCAACATTTGGGATCTGTTGGCAGAATCTAAGCGAACCGTTCAAATCAACGATAATATATCGACACTATTTATCATATATCAGTTCGCACTAATGGTCGGCACTGTCTTAAGTCCGGGAACCATATTCTTGATGATCGTCGGTGCCATAAATACCAGTTTCAATCTGACGAGTGATATGTCTCTATTAATTAGCGGTCTTCCGATTCTGGTATTTATATTTGTGTGCTTTTTGGCCAAAAGTGATCTTCAAATTCAAGTGTCAATCGTATTGAGTATCGGTTACGCGATGCTTATGTTAGCCGTTATTGTGAGCACTATTATAGAGATAGTGACGGACGGCTTATGGCAACCGACGGCCATATTCTTCGTGAGTCTTATGATGAGTTTCGTGATCGCAGCCATTCTTCATCCCACGGAATTCCTATGCGTTTTACCACTTCTTTTATATATGCTGTGCATTCCGTCGATGTATCTCTTGCTTACCATTTACTCTATGACTAATTTGAATGTCGTCTCGTGGGGCACACGGGAGGGCCCGCCGGCGGCAGTCGGTGTTCCACAACCGGCGGAAAAATCGGTCGAAACAAAGACTGATTTTCTCTCAAATGTCAAGAATTTATTCAATAACAAGAGTAACTCACGAGTCGTGAGTTGTATGTGTTGTACAAACTCTGACCAAAGCGAGGATAAAGAAATTTTGAAAGAGATTCACGAAATCAAGTATCAAATGACTGATTTCAAGACAATGATGCAGTCGTCTGACGATCGGATCGTCAAAATCAATCCCATATTTACCGATAATATGAGTCCATTGAGTCGGACGAGTGGTTCGAGACTTCCCAATATCAGTGAGAATGAGGTCGAAGAAGAATTGGATCACAATTTTATACGACGACAACCGGGACGACAAAGTGGCGGACAATTTGATTCACGAAGATTTGAGTCGAGAGCCACTGATATAACTTTACTGAGTGACGCTTTCGATGATAATTACGATAGTTTAGAGATACAGAAGCCTTTCTGGACAACAGAGCAATGCTTTGAATTGTATTCACACCAAGAATTAGATGACACGGAATCGCAATTCTGGCGAGAATTCATTGATTTATATCTCCTGCCACTCGATAAGGATCCCAAACACGAAGAGAAAGTTCAGTTTGATTTAATACAACTCAGGAATAAAATCGCCTCCGCTTTCGGTCTATTGAATGCTTTGTTTATTTTATTGGTTTTATTGCTTCAAATGCATAAAGAGATCTTCGAATTCAGGATTGATATCGGAAATGGTATTTATTGTAACCAATTATAGATTTTTTCAAATTGGTTTGCATTTCACTTGTTTTGTTACGTTTAGAATATTTATCCATAAAATTGAATAATATTTTTAAACAGTATTCCTATAAATTGTATAAAAATAATTTTAATTTAACTGTAGTTTTATAGTTAAGAAATTAGAGTTTAAAACTACCGTAATAAACATGTGAACCAATTGAAAAGCATGATGTAATTATGACTATGAAGGTGATTTGTTAACAAACTTACCATGAATTGATAGGAAACATAATCCGTTTGGATGTGATTGGCCTGAGTTTAGTGATATTCTTCGGCATTATTTTGGTCATCCAATTCGTGGGAATGCTTTTCCATCGGTTCAACACATTCTCACTCTTACTATCGGTAACTGAACTAAAAATGTTTAAATCGGACATTCAGTCGACAAACGCGGAGCAAGTGATCAGCGAGAATGCGGTCAATATTGTGAAACAACTCCAGAAACTAAACAGCAATGAGAGTAACATTAAAGCCAAACGCACTCTCAGAAGGAATCCCATTAGACCGGAGACACAGCGTATTGTCAAACACGTGCCAAATAGGCCTGAGTTCGTCGAACTGGAGGACGCTTTTGTCAACAGATGTCTGAGTCTTAAAGACAATTTTGACAGTAATTTAACGCAAACCACAATTTAATTGCAATATTTTTATGTCTAATAATTTTATAATGTATTCCAATAGACGAGGAAATACTACCCGAATCTAGACTATCGAGGGGTGGAAGGAATCGCACGGTTCGCGGCCACGACTTAAGAAAAAGCATATACAACAGTGTGCAGGGTACTATTAGGCGTAATATTGTTTCACATTCATAGATACTTTCAATCCATCATAATTTGTTATATCGTATTATCCACTGTCTTATTTAATTTATGTTTGTCTTTATATCAATAAATGATAATTTATTTCATATCAAATGAACGGATACTGTGTTATTGTTTTTAATGTTTTAGTAATTTTAATGAACATTAACCAATAAAAGCGTGACATAAATAGAAATTATTGATTTATTTCAACTGAAAACTCCTTTAAAAAATAATAATAAAATTGCTTCAAAAATGACATCAAATGCTAATAAAAGTTCAGATAATTTGGAGGATATGTTGAAAAAGATGGTACCGTTTGATGCGTGCAATACTGACGTCAATTTCATTCAAATCGATGAAAATGACAATAACTTAGAAGAAGGCAACAGTTTTCCAACGGTTTGGCAGAAAATAGACTCCGATATCAACCGAAGAAGTGGTTCTCATTTGAGCCAAATATTGAGTGCAATCTATAAAACAAGATTTCTTCTGCCAATCAGTCAATTGGATGTCAATTATGAGAGCGCTCTTAAGGGAAGACATCCACACATTATTGGGAAGATTCTCATCACTGATGACAGAAGTTATGCTTTACTGACGGATATAATTGACGTCAATCTTCTCAAAGAAGAACCGTTTGGTATATCATGTGATTATAACATCAAAGATGTTTTGCCACAAGAACTCATCCAAAAGTATCACATAATTTATTTGATTTGTTTGACTGAAATGAGAGACAATGAGTTTGAAAAGTTTGTCAGTAATTTGCGGACAAAACAGAGCGGAAGTTATACTCTGTTTTGCAGTTATA